AAGTGTTGGAGTCCATGCCACAGTGGAGCGCCATTTCCCACACGATTATGCTCGAGGCATATGCCAGGAACGGGCATCTTGCCGAGGCGCGGGAGGTGTTCCAGAATATTCGCTACCCGGACGTGGCTGCCTGGAACTCGGTGCTTGCTGCATATGCCACTAACGGGCATCTTGATATAGCGCTACGCGTGTTCGATTCCATGCCCCAGCGCACAGCCGTGTCGTGGACGATACTCCTGTCGGCTTGCGCTCACACCGGAAGCCTCAAACATGCCAAGATATTCTTTGATGGAATGCCTGAAAAGAATCTCATCATCTGGACAACCATGATCGCTGCATATTCCCAAAACGGGCATCTGGGAGATGCCACAGCACTCTTTGATTCCATGCCCGTGAGGAATATCCTGTCATGGACGAGCATGCTAACAGCCTACGCACAAGCTGGCCAGCTAGACAGCGCACGGAAAATGTTCCAGGATATTCCTCACCACGACGTGGTATCTTGCACAGCGATGCTGGGTATATATGCCCAAACGGGGCGTCTGGAGAAAGCAAAGGGTATCTTCGACTCGATGCCCGAGAGGGACATTGTGACGTACAATGCCATGCTTACCGCGTACGGACAGGCCGGGGATGTGGACATGGCTACCCACACGTTTCGTACGATGCCACAGCACGACCTGGTCTCGTGGAGTACGGTCATTGCTTTGCTTACCCAAACTGGGGATCTGGACCATGCCAAGAGAATGTATGACATGATGCCTTTGCAGGACCTTATCTCGCAAACTATCTTGCTAAGCTGCTACAGTCAACACGGGAATCTTAAAGATGCGAAGAAGGTGTTTGACCAGATGCCGGCACAGAATCTAGTCTCCTGGAACAACATGCTCTCTGCATATACCCAGAGAGGGTATATTCGAGATGCAAAGTCATTGTTCGATTGGATGCCACAGAAGAATCTTTTGTCTTGGAACATTATGTTAAACTCAAAGTTACAAAATTCTCGTCTTGAAGAAGGAGTGTCAATGTTCTTGACAATGCCGGAACGCGACCTTGTATCGTGGAACTCTCTGCTGACTGCATTTACCCAAACCGGGGATTTTGAGATGGTTAAGAAAACGTTTGCTGAGATGCCCGACAAGAACTTGATCTCCTGGACGACGATGTTGTCCGCCCTCTCGAGAAACAATCTCCTCCACGATGCAAAAGCTATGTTTGATCGAATGCCTGAGCAAAACCAAATGAGCTGGAACACAATCACGGTGGCATTTGCACAGTCCGGACGGATCAAACAAGCCGCCAGTCTCTTCATTCGTATGCCCGAGAGAGACATCGTCTCCTGGAGCGCGATGCTCGCCGCATATACCCAAGCCGGGCATTTCGATGTCACACTGGAGATGTTCTACGCTGCGAGGATGGAGCTTGAACCCGATGGAGCTTGCTTCGTTCCAGTGCTCGTCTCTTGCAGCCGGACAGGCAAAGTTGGCGACGCAAGGTGTTTGTTTGCATCCATGGCGCGGGATCACGGACTGGATCACTCGAGGCAGCATTACTCGTGCCTGGTTGATCTCCTTGCGAGAGCTGGGCATTTGGAGCCGGCTCGAGATCTCATCACAAACATGCCCTTCGTGCCGGATCTGTTGGACTGGACTTGCTTGCTGGGCGCTTGCAAAAGCTTTGACGACGTCGAGCGTGGGGGATTTGTTGCGAAGAATGCCTTTAAGTTGGATCCCGGCTACACTTCCACGTACTCTTTACTGTCAAACATGTATAAATCAAAATCTCTTTGCGCTTAAACGCTTTCGAAAGATAAAACTATCTTTCAATCCAAGATCTTGAAACTTTACATGAGGAAGCATCTTATCTTAGCCGTTGAGCGATGTTGGTCAACGGGAAAATAAGAGACCACACATTCAAAGCCCAGAGCTCGGTCAAGATCAAACGCTCGCGTTGCTCCCTCTCGCTATGGCGAGCCCAGTCCATTCCACAGCACTGGTCACAAGAAAGCTAGCTTTTACACTCTCCTTTCCTTCGTCTAGTTCTTCCTTCCTAGCGGGACGCGGAGTCTGGACGCAACCTGGCTTCTCCCATCAAAACCACGAAAAAGAACAAAGAAATTCACTCACCAGTCGATCCAGCTCTAGGTTTTAGCTTGATTGGTTTCGTTGCCTCTCGTCCAGGATGATCCCCAGCTCCAATTCCCAGCTGCTACTGCTGCTGGCGCTGCTAACTCTCTCCTCGGCCGCGACCCAAGGAAGTGTCCCTGGAATCTATCTCGTCACTGATGAACAAAACAGCACCAAAAACGCGTCAGGCATGGCGATGATCCAGCCAGACTACCTGAGAGGAGGAATGGCAGACAGCGCTTGCGGCGACGTCCAAACTCCTTCACGACGCGTCTTGCTCGAGGAATCCAGGAAGACCTCGCTCAAGATGGAGCTCAAGCACAGGGATCACAGGCAGCCCACCAGCAACAGGAGGTCGCTGCTGCTGGAATCGCTCAAGCGAGACATCACTCGCCTCCAATCCTTCCAGAAAAGAGTGAGTGAAAAGCTTACGGCCAGCGCCAATCCAGAGGCTTACCTGGAGATGACGAACTCCAGCTCCACGAAATCACCTCCATCGCCATCGTCTTCGTGGGAAGAAGTCGACTCCACCGTGGAGTCCGGGGCGGAGCTTGGAGCTGGCGAGTACTTCATGGACGTGTTCGTGGGAAATCCTCCGCGGCACTTCCTCCTCATCATCGACACTGGCAGTGATCTCACCTGGCTCCAGTGCAAGCCCTGCAAGGCTTGCTTCGACCAATCCGGCCCGGTGTTTGATCCATCCCAGTCCACTTCCTTCAAGATCATCCCTTGTAATGCCGCGGCCTGCGATCTAGTCGTCCACGACGAATGCCGCGATAACTCCTCCAAGACTTCTCCAAAAACTTGCAAGTACTTCTACTGGTATGGCGATTCCTCGCGGACGTCGGGAGATCTGGCGCTGGAATCACTGTCAGTGAGCCTCTCGGATCATCCCTCGTCGCTGGAGATCCGGGACATGGTGATCGGCTGTGGCCACTCCAACAAGGGGCTGTTCCAGGGCGCCGGCGGGCTTCTCGGGCTCGGACAGGGAGCTCTCTCCTTCCCATCCCAGCTGCGATCTTCGCCAATCGGCCAGAGCTTCTCCTACTGCCTCGTCGACCGGACCAACAACCTGAGCGTGAGCAGCGCCATCAGCTTTGGCGCTGGATTTGCTCTCTCCCGGCACTTCGATCAGATGAAATTCACGCCATTCGTGAGGACAAACAACTCGGTGGAGACCTTCTACTACCTTGGAATCCAGGGGATCAAGATCGACCAGGAACTTCTCCCCATCCCGGCCGAGAGATTCGCGATCGCTACCAATGGAAGCGGCGGGACGATCATCGATTCGGGAACCACTCTCACGTACCTAAATCGCGACGCGTACCGGGCGGTGGAGAGCGCGTTCCTGGCGAGGATCTCATACCCTAGGGCCGATCCCTTCGACATCCTGGGGATTTGCTACAATGCCACTGGGAGGGCCGCCGTGCCATTCCCTGCCCTCAGCATCGTCTTCCAAAACGGAGCCGAGCTGGATCTTCCGCAGGAGAACTATTTCATCCAGCCGGATCCGCAAGAAGCCAAGCACTGCCTCGCGATTCTTCCCACGGATGGCATGTCGATCATCGGAAATTTCCAGCAGCAAAACATCCATTTCCTCTACGATGTCCAGCACGCGCGGCTCGGATTCGCCAACACCGATTGCTCGGCTCTTTGAGCCCTAAAAATGTAAATTCTTGCGAAGAACCCTAATTTATGTAATTTGACCTTGGAAGTAAAGGTAATACCTTTTGGTTAAACTTGACATTTAGGGCTTTGGCTTAAAGAGAAGAGGGGAGCGCTCATGGTATGTGTTTTCGCCACGAACTGGGTCGATCGATCCGCGGTTTTTTTTCTCGCCAGATCCGATTCGTGCTGCTCATCAGCAGGCAGGGAAAGGTGCGATTGACGAAATGGTACTCGCCATACACGCAGAAGGAGCGACTTAAGGTAGCGTGATCTCTCTTGCCCGATCGCTCTCTCCTTAGGGTTTATCGATCCCTGATGCTTGGCATGGATCCAGGCGATTCGCGAGCTCAGCGCGCTCATTCTTCCCAGAGGACCCAAGCTCTGTAATTTTGTCGAGTGGAAGGGACTCAAGGTCGTCTACAAGAGGTACCCTGCGATCTCTTTGATCGACAGATCCAATTCTTGGTGAAAATTCTTTCTTCCCTTTCTTTTCGTAGGTATGCGAGCCTCTACTTTTGCATCTGTGTGGATTCTGAGGATAACGAATTGGATGGTCTCGAGGTGATTCATCACTATGTCCAAGTCTTGGACCGCTACTTTGGAAATGTGAGTTTTTCTTGCTTCTCGGGGAGTCTTGATTGGTTTTTTTTTGCTCTTCTGTGGGATAGGTTTGCGAGCTAGATCTCATCTTCAACTTCCACAAGGTCCTCTAGCAATGGCCTCTTTTAGACTTGCTGAGTTAGTGTTTTTGACAGGCTTATTTCATACTGGATGAGATTCTAATCGCTGGCGAGCTTCAGGAATCGAGCAAAAAGTCCGTCTCTCGCGTCATCTCGGCTCAGGTGAGCCAAATCAATCGACTGAACAGTTTCTTTTCAGGTATAGTCCTGATATTTCAAAACTCTTTTCTGTAGGACACTCTGGTAGAGAACGCGAAAGAGCAAGCGAGTTCGCTGAGCAATATGATCGCCCAGGCCACAAAGTGAAACGTATAAATTTTTTTAGCCTTCCTTTATATATTCTGCTCACGGCATATCTCCTTCAATGCCATGACTACGCCAACTTCGTTCCAGTATCAGTGAGCTAGCGGCGCAAGATTTCCAATCTGGCACAAAGCCACGGTTCCCATTCCGGCCTAATCTGGTTGAAACAGATGATAAGAGTGATGAAATCCTCAAATTGTTGAAGCAGAGCGAGCGTGGAAAGATTGTCTCATGGGCCCGCTTCAACATGACTCTGTTGCGGCATTTCTCACACACTCCGGTTGGAATTCGTTGATGGAGGCCGTAGCTTGTTTCATGCCTTCGTCATTTACTACTTTCCGACGCTTGACCGGGGCTTCGATCAACTTCTCGGATGAGAGCTCATCTCTCCTTGACAGGAAAAGCCGAGTGTTTATGCAGTGAGCCCACGAAAGCCCCAGAGCAGGAGCTATTCTTCGCCCAGACGATACAAGCTCCAAGAGATTACCGATCTGAATTCCTTTCGAACCATCCACGCAGTCCATGACCTGATTGGTTACCAAAACCGCGACGTCATAATCATGAGCAAGCTTCTTCAGCTTCGCAGATAACTGGAACAGGCTTCTAGACCTAATCACCATTTCCGTCCTGTTGGACCGAAACGATGCTGCTACAGAATCTATGAGCAACAGCCTCACAGGCCTCTCCCGGCGTTGCTGCTGGTTCAAGACTCTCTCCAGGCGCTCGAAATATGTGAACAGCTGCTGGATACTCTCCGCAGGCTCCACGAACACATTCTTGCTGGGATGAAACCCTAATCGGATTTAACCCAAAAGAGAAGTGACCAAACAAGCTCACTTGCAAGATAGAAAAATGTATTTTCTTAGGTTATAGTGATTTCTCTGAAGGATATTGACTTTATTCTTTGGAGAAGAAAAAATTGTACAAGAGGAGAAACATTATCTTTGATGAGACTAATTTCTATTGTGACTGTACACTTGCACTTGAAACATCTCCACCTTTGAAGATTTAATTGTTAAAATTCATCTCTTATTTCACTGGTTGCACCTATTGCAATTCTGCCCCTTTTTCTTGCAACATCATAGGATCAACTTTGACTTGGCTTTATTATTTGAAGGCAATGAAGAGTTTTAGAGTGCTCAACCATTGACCCTTGGTTCAATTTTAGTGGGAGTCATTGTAGCTTCAGTGGGAGCTCTTTCTACACATTTAAACTTGTGGTGTTTTAATTGGGTGTTTTGTCTAATGCAACATGCTTTAGAAGCTTTGGAGTCTTTTGACTTCTTTAATTGGTGGTGACAGCTTTGTTGCTCACACTATTGTAGTTGAACCAATTTCAATTCTTCATAATGCATGGCAAGCACTTTTTGGCCCTTATGTAGACAAGTGGCTATTTGCTATGCAAAGTAAGATGCAAAGTAAGATGAGAAGAAGGGCACCTTTATCAAACAGAGCTGCCAACTGATGGTCATTTGATTGACACCTATTGGGTGTTCTCAGTTTTTTACAATTAATATTTGAGCATGAAGAAATTCAAGGCATGTTAAGTGGCACAAGGTTTCACTCAGGTGGCTAGATTGGATTTCATAGTTATGAAGCTAGCTTTTATTTGCATGATCATGACGCTTATAGCTGCTTGGAACCTCAAACTTCACCAAATGGATGTGCAAACAGCCTTTTTGAACAACAAACTTGAGGAGGACATCTACATTGGCTTTGTGGAGCTAGGTACGGAACATCAAGTTTGCAAACTAAAGTGTACCCTCTATGGCTTAAAACAGAGTCTTTAAGCTTGGTATAAGCGGATTGATACTTTCTTCTGCTCCCTTGGCTACACGAAAGGTGCTGCTGATGGAAATGTGCACCCCTATTTAGTGGCCAAGCTGTTTGTGATTGTCGCACTTTATGTTGACAATTGCATAATGGCTGCTAATGCTCTAGCTATGCTGCTCACTCTCAAGTCCAAGCTCTTTGCTGAGTTTGAGATGATTGATTTGGGTGAAGTTCACTTCTACCTCAGTATTCAAGTATTTTGTGATCGTCAAGTAAGCACAATTTCACTTTCACATGCACACTATATGAGAGAAGTGCTCAGCCAGTTCAATCTGACTGATTGCAAATATGTGCCAACACCTATTGAGCTAGGCACCAAGCTCTTTGTTGTTTCCTCTCCATCATCCACAAGTGATCGTGAAGCAATGAGTGGTGTGCCTTATCAGCAAGCTATCGGGAGCCTGGTTTATTTGGCCGTTGCTACAAGGCCTGATATAGCTCATGTTGTGGGCGTTGTCTCAACTTTTTTAGAAAATCCTGGCCCCAAGCACTGGATGAAGCGCATCTTATGCTATCTTCAAGGCACACATGACTTTGGTCTAAGGTACAAGGCTTCTGCAAATTCTACAGTGCTTGGCTTTTGCAATGCAGATTATGGTGGTGATTTGGACACCCGACAATCCACTACTGGCTATGCATTCATGCTCTATGGTGCTTCAGTTAGTTGGTCTAGTCGTAGGCAATCAATTGTGGCCATGTCTTCCACAGAAGCTGAATTCATCACTATAGTTGAAGCTGCTAAAGAAGCCCTTTGGTTGCAACACCTATCCAAGGATCTGCTGTGTGAGGGGGATGGTCCACTCCTCCTCTATTTAGATAATCAGAGTGCACTGGCTCTGACCAAGGAAGATCGTTACCATGCCAGGAGCAAGCATATGGACATTCGCTACTACAAGATATGAGAGCTGGTCGAGAACAAGCATCGAGTTCAGGGATGTCTTCATGACGGATACAATTAACTATAACTATATGCGTACTCTGGACTGCAATGTATGGTTTGAAATTTAATGAGTTGTCATGCACCAGAAAAAACTTATGAACCATTGCTGGATAGTATGTTAAAGAGCTTTTGGACCAGGATCAAAGACAAACCCAAAGTATGCACGTGGGTTGCTTATTGTGACTACCAGTGTCACTTTGTAAAGCACTCACCAATCAGGGGTATGAGGAAGATACACCAGCAGATTTGAATATTGATGATGAGGACAAAGAAGCAATGCTGGAAGTGGAAGAGCTTGGCACTTAGGATTTGTACAATGGCATGGTTATAAATGAGAATCACTAAGCTTAATGTAGAAGTGAAGGGGTATTGGATGGTCATGGTTTCTGAATTGAAGGACCTCTATCTTTCTTTTATCCCGCCGAGCAAAGTTGATCACTGTTTATGGAGGCTGCAAAGCCAGGCGCATGTGGCACCTATTTTGATGCAGACTTGGTGGAAGCTTTTGCATCTGTTGATCACATAGGATTTCAGGGGAAGTTAAGGAAAAAGTGGAGTTGTACTGAAAGCTGGCACTTAATGGTGAGAAACTAGTCAAGGAGCACCTTTCATAGGAGGTAACAATCTTGTCACATTTGGAATGTTTGATAAAAAATTGTGCAACCTTTTGATCATGCTTTACATAAAAAATATTAAATATTTTGTGAAAATGTTTGACACTAATAAGTTGTGGAATGGCATCAACCCTTTAAGTTTCATAAGGTTTGTCCACATGTGTTGTGGTTCAGCCAGTTGATTTGAAACATTATGCAAAACTTAGTTAAGTTATTTTTTGACTTTTAGCAGCCTAAAATCCGTTTCTTAACCTTCCTCAAACTTTGAAAACAGCAAGTTTCAACTTTTGTTCATGGCCTATTGTAAGCTTCTGAAAAAAAACTGCTATTGCAGTGGCGGCTGAAGCTAAGGCTGACATTCTACCTAGAATCAAAGTTTTTTTTTTATTTTCGGCAGCCTAGAATTTGTTTCTTAGCCTTTCTCAAACTTTGAAAACAGCATGGTTTTAAGAAGGCTACCAAGTCTCAACTTTTGTTCATGACCTATTGTGAGCTTATGAAAAAAGCTACTATTGCAGTGGCAGCTGAAGTTAAGGCTGACATTCTACACGGAATCAAAGCTTGCGAGGGTAAAAGCATTGTGGAGAGGCTCATTAGGCCACAGTATTTGATTGAGCCTTTACCAAGAGCACATCTGGATACACCAACACTTGGGACTGCAGCCTTCACTGCGAAGTTTACCTGTAGCTCATAGCTGGAGGTCGAAAACTATCCTGGCACAAATCTCTGTCCGCGGAGTTTCCTGGCGCAGCTCTATGCCAGGGACCTCCGTTTGCATAGTAGTATTTTGGATACAGTGCATCGGGCAGATTTAGCTCAAGCAGCTTTCTGGATATGTCTGAGTATTCATCCCACCGAGCTGGTGAAAATGATATCAGAGCAGAGCACCGAACCCCAGTGGACAATTATGTGCAGCCTTGTTGGCCACAATTCAAAGTTGACGTGATGATAGAGATAGAGCCCGAGATGTTAATGGTAACATTGAGCGGGCTGCAGTGACTGCCACCCAACTTCCCCGGAAAGCAGAATTGGACCCTCAACTAAGCGTGTGAACAGCAGCATGGCTCCAAATCTCAAATGCGTCCCAAGGAAACAGTATGATGTAACTAGGCCGTCCTTATTCCAATTAACTATTAACTCTTTCCAATTAATTAGGCCGTCTATTTTGGCTTTAAAAGTTGTTAAACCACCTCGACAGGTGATGTTGCAAGAAGCTATTGCAATTGTAATGGCACCTCAAGATCCTTCCAGGTATACTCTGTCTCCTGTTTGTATCTTTTCCTTTGTCTGAACGTGGCTCCACAGGAATTTCAGAATTTTCCGTTTTAACAGATCCTGGCAGAATGAATGTTATCCAACAATGTCCTAAGCGTCATGAAGGCACCAGCGACAAGTGCAGTCACGTATATCTGGATCCAAAATTAATTTTCAAGTCGATTTGAGATAACACCTTGTCACATAGATTTGCAGCATACTACACTGTACTGTGTAATTTTATTGCAGCATTACCGAGATCCTCTAGCATTGGAAGACTCCTAACATCTCTCTCAGCATTGGAACGATTTATGAATTTCTGGATAAGTCCTTTGCATTCTCCACATTAGAAATACATTTCAAAACACTTACTTTATAGCAGCATTAGCAGCTTTGTACAAGCACATTGGACGGCTAAGATTCAATAAACAGAAGGCGTGCCATGGTATTTCAAGAGTGGCTCTTTCAGTTTCACTCAATCGCGGACTGATAGGGTGAGCAAGATGGTAAGAATGCTGGCTGGTCTGCTCTTGGTGCTTTCAGTGATGGCAGCTCTTGCTGCGGATCACGTCGTGAATCTCACACCCGAGAACTTTATGGAACTGGTAGGGCAGGATCGAGGAGCTCTTGTCGAGTTCTTCATTAACAGGTAGCTCCCCCATTCAATTGTCACAACCTGATCGATTGCTTTGTTCCGACTTCCGAGTTGCGCAGTTGTGGAGCTTGTAAGAAGCTTGGACCTGAATATGAGAAGGTTGCTTTGGCATTCAGGAAAGTCAAGAAGACCGTGCTGATAGCCCATGTAAGAACCGCAGTGTCGAGTTCTTTGTGATGGCTCATTCCGATTCACAGGTGAATTGCGAATACCATCCTCTAGTGTGTGGGTATTGTAACATCAGCAACTACCCAACAATCGAGTGGTTCCCGAAAGGATCAATGACTGCCAAAATGTAAGTTCCTGCTGGTGCAGACGATTTTCAAGTAGCTCTGAGGTTACCATGGTTGCGTTGTTTAGTTATTCCGGAACTCCAACTAGCAGAGGCCTGAGGAAGTTCGTAAATGCACAAGCGAAAAACCACAACAAGAAGGATCTGTATTGAATTCCCACAAGTTCATAAACCCCAAACAAAAATATCCGTACTTATCCTTGAACATGTCTATCTTTCAATCGAACGGCTGACAATTAGCACGGATCAGAGTTGTTACGTCCTAACATCCAACCAGTGTATGCCATTTGGGGGATTGGGGACCACCGGATGCGGGCTTCTTGACGGCTGGATCTCATCCTACGATCTGCGAAAATGGAGAGAATGTTGGCGGTTTTGCTGCTGGCGTTTTTGGAGCTTTTGCTGCAGAATCTGATGTCGTTGTGCTTACACCCGACAATTTTGAGCAAGTAGTACGGCAGGGTCGAGGAGCTCTTGTTGAGTTCTACGCTCCCTGGTAAGCAAGCATTGCATTGCAGCTGGATCTGGTCTTCTGGAGGCGATTTTAATCTGGTCTCTGAAATTCCAGGTGCGGGCACTGTAAGAAGCTAGCTCCTGAGTATGAGAAGGTTGGATCAGCTTTCAAAAAAGTGAAGAACATAGTGATAGGCGAGGTAACGTTTTTATGAAAACTTCAATGCCTCTGTGCTCATAGTTTAATTCGGCAAGTGGATTGTGATGAACACAAGTCCCTATGCCAGAAGTATGATGTGAGCAGTTATCCAACACTCAAGTGGTTTCCGAAGATTCATATGATGCAGTTTTTGTGCTAATTATATATGTCTGCAGCTACTCTGGTGGACGTACTGCCGGGGATCTGGTGAAGTTTGTGAATGAAGAAGGAGGTATGGCTCAGATCTATTTTATGTTTACGCTGTGCTAAGGAAATTTATTGTGATAACACAGGTGCACATGCCAAGCTGAGTGTGCCGTCATCAGACGTAGTCGTTCTGACCCCCTCCAACTTTGACGAGATAGTCCTTGACAGCGCTAAGGATGTTCTGGTGGAGTTTTATGCTCCTTGGTAGGTTAAAGCTTTCCCAACCCCCTCTGATGCGGCATTACGTAATCATTGTTCTTATTTTCAGGTGCGGACATTGCAAAGCTTTGGCTCCGGTAAGTCAGTCTGATGCATGCTATCAGTGATACTAAAACATTGATTTTGTTCTGGAAGGTTTATGAGGAGGTTGCAACCGCGTTCAAAGGTGAGAAGGATGTGGTCGCAGCGAAACTAGATGCAGATGCTCACAAGGATGTGGCGTCCAAGTAAGCTTTTTCAGTGTCTTATGTATAGTTGATTGTAACCTCTGCCTATCTTTCAGATATGATATTAGTGGCTATCCCACAGTAAAGTTCTTCCCGAAATCCAACAAAGATGGAGAGGATTGTGATGGGCGTTCACTAGAGGAACTCGTGGAGTTCCTGAACGAACAATGTGGTACTTACCGTGACACAACAGGCCGGCAAAGTGGCGAGTATCGAAATCATTGTCGAAGAGTTCGTAGCTGCTTTGCCAGAGAAGCGTGAGGCAGTGGCAAAGCGGATCGAGGAGGCCATTGAGAAACTGGAGGGTACTGCCGTGGGGTAAGCTTCGTATTTGGAATGCTGTGGTGATTGTTGCAATATATAATTTCTCGACTTCGCAGATACGGGAAGATCTACGCGAAAATCCCCAAGCATCACCCCATTGAATTTATCAGAATTTTTTGGATTGTTAGCAAACACACCTTTGCATTTTTCAGGCGCTGCCAGGGCCTCCAAAGAAGAAATATGCCCCATTCATAGCCGAGACACTAGTAGCAGTATAGCAATTTAGGTGTTTCAGCTTCTCTTCTCATCCCAATTGTTGGCTGCATCGCACCACTAGAATCCAGGTACTGTATTCTTCTCTGGTATGCAAATACCATATCCTGGGATGGAAATTCTCCACTTCCCATATCAGTCTTTGTGTGTCTTGCTCCGTTTTCTTTATCATAGTCAAAGTGTCATTCTGTAGAAATTAGAAAAGATTTGCCCGTCAATTTTGTAACCACCAATTCTTTGAGCCATCGTCCTGAAAAATTCAGCCAAGGCTTAAGCAACAAATACATACTAGGAGGAACATTTTCGAGCGTATCCACTCCAGACTCTACACAATATATGAGATAACCTTACGTGTTTTCCAGGTCTAGAGTCTGTACACGTTATAGCATCCAGTATTTATGTAGCCATCGGCCTGCCAAATGTTGACAATTCTTATAAAATGTTTTCTTACCAATCTGATTTACTGTCCAGTAGACAAAGAGTCGAGGTCCACTTCCTCAAGGTTCAGTATAGAAACCCTTGAATTTCCACATACCTGCCATCCTGCTTCAATTGTGTTCACTAGGCCTAATTTGTTTGAGGTGATCCATAACTGCGCTAGACTGAACTCGGAAGTTTGTTCCACGTATGGCTCCCAAACATTTCTAGTTGTTTCATCTCTTTAAAGTTGCCGTTCAACTCGTTATAGATCATGCAAAGTATCGTCAACTCTTGAGAGTTTTGCTCAGATCAGGTTCTTCATCAGCCAATGGCACTCGGTTTTTTCCATAGGAATGTTTTATGATTAGCTTCCTCACAGAACCAAATCTTGCGGCTATGGTATTCGAAGTTTGCAACACCGGTATTGTGTTTTTCTTGCACGATCCAACTTCTAGACCAAACAGCTGACCGGAATTTTCTGATCGATTGTGCTCTTTTTTGCTCATCATTTGAGGGGCTAAACGAGGAATGCTGCACAACTTACCAGAAGCTGCAGTGTCTGGTTTCTTAGAGACAGCTGATTTTTAATTGGGACGCAGAGGATGATATCTCCATTTGATAACTGCAATTCGGAATCTATGTGTTCACAAGGGTTTGAAAAAGAGGAAACAAACCGTATGATTTGTGAAAAACGGAGGAGTCACGTCTCAGAGAAAATCTCTCATCTCCTCATTGAGATCTGCTGCTGCGTAAGAATGTAAGAAGCATACCATCAGCAGCAATGCTTCTGTTTCTGACATTTTTCGAAGATGACGAAAATAATGAAGGGAGAAACTCTTTGATTTGCAGATCGATGAGGGTCGCAATATCTTCTTCGTAACTTGTGTACTTGGAAATCAAAGAAGACAAAACTGGTCTATCGTCAATCTTTCCCAGCATGGGTCTTCTTGCGACCTCAGATTTCTGACTGTGGAACCCCAGAAACGTTCCGTGCAGGTGATTTACCTCAAGCATTCAAGCTATCAAACCAGTCTATACGGAACGTTTCTGAGGTCCATCCATCAACTTTGGCCGAAAGAAGTTAACGTGGAGTGTTGTTAAAATTGCGCCAAGAAATCTGAGGTCGGTGTTTCATGGCAACATATTTTGCCTGATAACACCACTGTCTATATACTTCTATCACCGACCGATTTTCCTTTCTTTTATTTTGATGGCGGTTGTCTACCCATTGGTATGCCAACTTCTATTTTGCGACTGCTTTGGCCTATGCGTTTCTCCAAACGAGGTTTTTCTTTGCTAAGCCAACTAAAGGAAACAGTTTTGATCGTTGGAAGCGTCAACTTGATCCTACGACAATCAAAACAGAAAGACAATTGAAAACCCGCTTGATTTACTATATTTTTATTGTTTTTAAGTGGAATGAGTAAATGGAAATGGAATGGGAATCTTATGTTTCATGGCATAAGCAAAAGAATGGAATATTTTGTTTCTTTGAGCTTCCTGATGGGGAACTTTGACGTTTGTACAAATTACTCAAGAAATCTCTAAAGGATTTTGCGCCAAAGTGATCACTTGGCCATCTTAGAACGAAACCAAGGATTTCTTTGTCACTGGAGGACATTTATTCAAGTCTTGCAAGACCAACTTAAACGAGCTATGTTGCTCCTCAACTTTCTTCTGGCCACCTTTCCAGCATAGCTTGTTGCAATGTTTACAATACAACACCTCTTGATATTTCCCACCAGTGCTTGAACCTTGTAAGAACAAGTCTGAAGAATGACAATAACTACAATTCATTTTGTAATTTTCCTTAAGGGTTATTCAATGTAACCCTAATACTGATTTGGACCTTTTGGCTGAAGGAAAAGGCTGATTGCATTAACCCCCTTTTAAGTTAGTTCAATTCTTAAAGTTTTATCTTTATCTTACATTTTTTAAAAGAGTTCAAGATCGAAGCCACTATCCCATCTGTTCCAGATCCTAGTGTTTGATTCGCACGAGTGACTCCTCCGAGGGCAAACCTTTGCTGAGAGTGACTCTTTCGACACACAGGCAGGGCAAATCTTTGCTGAGATGGTGAAGAAGGATCTATGAGGCTGTGATTTTGGTCGCTAGAACCATATACCACACACGAGGTAACAAACATTCAAGAGCTGACAATTGATCACAGATACGATGAGTTTTTTGGAAATAAATATAAATGTCTAGGAGTTATACGCGGAAAAAAAATTCGGAGTTCAGTTTTGGACAAATCAAGCCCGTTGAACACAATTGAAAGGTATGTACACACTTCTTATTTACTGAACCTTTCTTGAAGATTTACCCTGAATTCTATGGAGGAACAGGACCTCGACTCTTTGTCTACTGGAAGGTAACTCATATGGTGAAAACTTTAGAAAAGCATTGTTATGGCAGGTTGATGGCTGCAAAACTTTAGGCTGCTATAATCTCATTTTCAAGCGTATCCACTCCAGACTCTGAGAAAACCTTACGATAGCAATTGGGATGAAAAGTGGAGCAAAGGGGGTGCATTGGAGGTCCTGGAATGCTCTTTGAGCCCTAAAAATGTAAATTTTTGCGAAGAACCCTAATTTATGTAATTTGACCTTGGAAGTAAAGGTAATACTAAACTTGACATTTAGGGCTCTGGCTTAAAGAGCGCTCATGGTATGTGTTTTCGCCACGAACTGGGTCGATCGATCCGTGGTTTTTTTTCTCGCCAGATCCGATTCGTGCTGCTCATCAGCAGGCAGGGAAAGGTGCGATTGACGAAATGGTACTCGCCATACACGCAGAAGGAGCGACTTAAGGTAACGTGATCTCTCTTGCCCGATCGCTCTCTCCTTAGGGTTTATCGATCCCTGATGCTTGGCATGGATCCAGGCGATTCGCGAGCTCAGCGCGCTCATTCTTCCCAGAGGACCCAAGCTCTGTAATTTTGTC